GATTATCTTCAAATTTCGCACATTTAAATATATTTATTAACACAAGAACTGGTGTGAAGGAAGTATATATCAATTCACTCTTTCTGGTACCTCTTCCACAAAGGTTCTCGGGCTGCAATACTTATTTCTCTCATAATGCACGAACAAATTTCTTTCAATTTTGCATATCTCCGTTGAATCTCTTTGAGTGACTCCCACTTCCCTTATATATTCTGATAAACCATCTCATGAACATTCTCTTCTTATACACATATATTTCCACATCCAATACAGGTCCACCTTGTGGTAACTTTTAATATATCGCCATTTAAAGGCATCTCTGGTTAAAAAAAAACTTGAAGTTCTTAGCTCACGTTGGAAAGCATTTATGACATTTACATTTTGTAAATCATTGACATATATTCTATATATTCTACCCTTCTAAATCCAATATTGGATGCATCCCCTTTTTGGTACATTAAAATCAAAAGAATTACCCTTTCTTCAAATTATTTTCAAATATTTATTTCATTACCGAAATCAATTTAGAAACAATCGTTGATGCTGGGCAAGGAGCCGCTGCAGTACTTCCAGGTGGACCAGGCAGTCCAGCCTTGTTGGGACTTGATCTTGCGGGCACAGGTCACTGAGTTGGAGATGTTGTCGGTCAACAAAGCGTCACAGGACAAGTGACATTCGTTGTAGGAGAAACGGCCGTTAGATGGTTGACACCAGTAGTAGTTGTTGATCTGGAAGATACCGTAATCGTTGGAACCATTCGAGTTGGTGGGGCCAACCACATCGGTGCGATAGGACGATTCGTGTTCAGCAATGCAGGTCCATTGGGGCAATTCGGATTTGGGTACACCCAAGGCGTACATTTCACGGGCCAACGAGCAGCGAGTGAAGGTCTTGCCCATGGCGGGGGCAGCCAAAGCCAAAGCGGCAACCAGGACAATGAAGAATTTCATGATTGTTGATTTTTTGTTAGCTAGAACGATTAAATTCAAACTATGACTTTACCCCGAGTCTCAGGGGTTTATATATCGCAGTTTTCGTGACATTTGCATGCGACCTGAGATAAGATTTTTTAAAATATATTTTGTGCAGTATTTGATATTGATATTACCCTCTTATGAGAACCAAAATTATCTAGAGATATTTTAAACCACTTTTGTTTTGCGTTATTATTGGTTTTTTTTTTTTAATTTTGTGAAAAGCTTCTCAAATATTTTCGATTTTTTCATGGTCTATTTAAAAATAGAACCAGAATAAACTAGTTAAAAATAGAACCGGAATAAACTGGACTGTATGATAGTGATCTCACAATTTTTTTATTTATTTATTTTTGTGTATTCAATTGAAGATTAAAATACTATCAATGGTGACGTATACGTGTTGTCAATACGTATACGCAATCAGTTTTCTTTACCCCGATTATTTGAAGAGGATAAGCAATCTTTGGCATTGTTTATATATTTTTAAACATAGTTAAGAATATTCTGCGCCATAGCGATTATCTCTCAGCAATATTTACTTTTTTGTGATAAGGATTTTAAATTTCAATTGGCAGAGATAAAACCCATTTAGATATAACTGCATTCGGATTTCAAATGCAAATATGTGATAAGATATTTTTAGGGGTTTCGAGAAAAATCTGTTCTCACTGTGATAATAAGACTGCTATATAAACCCCCAGTTCTCCACCGCAAGTCATAGTTTGAACTTAACCGTTTTAAGCTACCAAAAAAACCTCAAAAATTATGAAATTCTTCATTGTCTTGGTTGCCGCTTTGGCTTTGGCTGCCCCCGCCATGGGCAAGACCTTCACTCGCTGCTCGTTGGCCCGTGAAATGTACGCCTTGGGTGTACCCAAATCCGAATTACCCCAATGGACCTGTATTGCTGAACACGAATCGTCCTATCGCACCGATGTCATTGGCCCCACCAACTCGAATGGCTCCAACGATTACGGTATCTTCCAGATCAACAACTACTACTGGTGTCAACCATCCAACGGTCGTTTCTCCTACAACGAATGCCACTTGTCCTGTGATGCCTTGTTGACCGACAACATCTCCAACTCGGTGACCTGTGCTCGCAAAATCAAGTCCCAACAAGGCTGGACTGCCTGGTCCACCTGGAAGTACTGCAGCGGCAGCTTGCCAAGCATTAATGATTGTTTCTAAATTGGTGTCATTTTTGAATATTCGTAAAATAAATATTTGAATTTGCATTGAAAAACGGTTTGAAAATTTTTAAACTCTTTGGGATTTGGTTGAAAGTTTTGCCATTTATTCAAGAGTCATTGGTAGCTAGTAGAGGGAAAGCTATTGTTGGTAGTTCCTTATGACTCAGTCCTGAGAAAAATACCCTCCAACACAGAATGGAGGATATATTAACATAGGCATTCCGTTTACAATACCTCGACATATTGGCTCCAATTCAAACCAAGACAGCTGTTTGGCTTTGGTTTTTTTGGGTTCTCATTGGGTAGGTTAACTCCTCACCTAAAAATAATCACTGTTGGTCCAATTTATAAATCCGTCCCCCGATATAACGGTATCTCCTAATTACCGTTGTATCAAAGGGTTTGATTTCAATATTTAACCAAATGAACTGTAGCAAATAAACAGGCCCTAAGTAGTTCCAAATTAGCAAAAATATGTTTTTTTTACTTATATTCCATAAATGGATAGCCCCATATAAGGGAACTTCCAGATATGTGGGGTAAAGATAACATTCTTTGATTATACATTAAATTTTCCAATTATTAAGGGTATAAAATATTCGGTCCAGCCTAATTTAACGTCGTTTTTACTTGTTTTTGTAGCCTTTCCATACTAAATGGAATGGAAATGAAGCGAGGAACCTAATTTTGTAACCATTACACACTATCACGCTTGAATTCCATAACGAATAACTTTTTTTCTGGATAGTTCTCATCAAAATGGTTTTGTACGCTTGTAAACAATATGTTGAGCGGTCACTGGAATAATTTTAACAACTGTCGGAAGAGTGGTTTAAAAATGGCAGCAGTTTTTTCATCTCACCCTGTATTAGCGACATTATTCACCGGAATTTTTTCAAATTTTGTATTTTAAGTCCGGGATCGGCACTACAGCCTATGACCAATATTACTTATGCAGGGCCATCCTATAGACATCATATAACGGTTTTCATTTGAGCGGTATTTTTAGACGGAATTCTTTGGAAAATTTTTGAAGTTCCTTCAAAATGGTGGTGGGTATTAAAAGTTTGGCCTTGCCGAGATAAGTTGCTCTTTAACTTCTATTCTTTATATAAATCGAAATGATGCCCCTATTCTGACCATTTGCTGCAGTAAAGAGTTTTGTGATGCCAAAGCCTAATATGACAAATTATAAATTATTTCTTTGGCGAAAAACGTCTAAATACTTCAAAATTCACTCATTCGAAAACTACATTAAAAGGGTCTGCGCCATAAAGTATATACCTATAATGAAAATGTAGTGGCAAAAAATAAGTCCATTTTCTGGGATCTCTAAATTTTGAAAATTAAAAACTTTATATGACCTGAGTCGAAAATTTTTTACCAAGGAGAGTTTCAGCTGATTTGGTTGGAAATTGTGGTAAAAACCTTCAAAATATCGAAAAATTAGAAGTACCATTATATGGGGGATATACAAATTAGTAGAGTTTACATGAACACCAATTGCCAAGTTTAGTTGTAAATTGTGCTAAAAACCTTCAAAATACCAAAAATGGGGAGATGGGGTCATACCAATTAGTGGACCTAAATCGAATATTTTTTGCAAAAAAACAAAAGACGTACCAAGAACCTCAAATGTAAAATTTTACATGATTTTGTTGGAAATTGTGGCAGAAACCTTACCTTAGCGCTCAATGGGGGCTATACCAATTAGTGGACCTAAATTGAACATTTCTTGCAAAGGGAGAACCGATATACCGAGAGCCCCAATTATCAAGTTGTATTTAATTTAATTGGAAATTGTGGCAGAAACCTTTAAAATACCGAAAATTGAGAGATACCGTTGTATGGGGCTATAGAAATTAGTGGACCTTTGGCGAATGTTTTTTGCAGAAGGAGATCGGATCTACCAAGAACCAAAAATGTAAAGTTTCGTCTAATTTGGTTGGAAATTGTTGCAGATACCTTCAGAATATCAAAAATCGGGAGGAACCATTATGTGGGGCTATACCTAAACGTGGACCAATATAGCCCATTTTCAATACCGAGGAGCCTGCATACATATAAACATTTGTGGCAAATTTCAAAAGGTCTGGGTGAAATAAGGTGGACTCTATCGTGGTTTCAACAAAGAGACAGACGGAAATCGCTAAATAGCCTCATAATTTTATTCGGATCAGGAATATACATATATACTTTTTGGGGTATCCGACGATATTTCGAGGAGTATACAAATAGAAGGGCATACAAATAGACTTATTATTGGATACTGATCGATAATATTAGACGAGTATTTCGAGATTTTGCAAAGAAAGTGACCAATGCAATATTACTTCAGTACAGTTCGGCGTATGAGTATCGACAACAAGTATACACAACCATGTTCAAATGCAAAGATCAGGATTAAGAAATATTTTTCCGTTCGTTATAAAAGCGATTGAAAATCCATGAATTTACTAAATCTAGTTGTTGAATGTACATACTATACAATATTCGGTATGAATGTTTTGAAAAATGTGGAGATTTGAAATGTCCATAAAATTAAAAAATAAAATAACATTAGAGACTAATTATGAGGCCAAACATTTTTATAAAACATTCCGAAATTTATTAGTTTGCTGTATGTCTATTAAAAGTTTAGAAACAGGGGATATTTCAAACATTTCAATATAATACGACTTGTATTCAATTATATTTGAACTTTTTGAAACACAAGTTCCCAAGGCGGGTGACATCGGTAACAGTACACTCAAACCTCTCTCCCTTTTTTACCTACCAAAAACTCTTTGTTTACCCAACTTCCAAAATACTAAAAATTATTCAAAACATTTTTTTTTCAATTCACTTTCAAATATTTATTTTACAAATATTTAGAAAAATGAAACCAATTTAGAAACAATCATTAATGCTTGGCAAGCTGCCGCTGCAGTACTTCCAGGTGGACCAGGCAGTCCATCCTTGTTGGGACTTAATCTTGCGGGCACAGGTCACCGAGTTGGAGATGTTGTCGGTCAACAAGGCATCACAGGACAAGTGGCATTCGTTGTAGGAGAAACGGCCGTTGGATGGTTGACACCAGTAGTAGTTGTTGATTTGGAAGATACCGTAATCGTTGGAGCCATTCGAGTTGGTGGGTCCAATGACATCGGTGCGATAGGACGATTCGTGTTCAGCAATGCAAGTCCATTGGGGCAATTCAGATTTGGGTACTCCCAAGGCGTACATTTCACGTGCCAACGAGCAACGAGTGAAGGTCTTACCCCAGGCGGGAGCAGCCAAAGCCAAGGCGGCAACCAAGACAATGAAGAATTTCATAATTGTTGAGTATGTTTTTTGTTAGCTAGAATGGTTAAATTCAAACTATGGTTTAGCTCGAAAACCTCAGGGGTTTATATAGGGCATATTCCCTAAGTGCAACAAAATGAATCATGCTGTGATAAATTAGTGATCTTTTCCATTTTTGCAAGGTTTTGTTATATATTTATTAATTAATTTATTTATTTTTTTTTTTTTTTGTATTATTATCTTTGTGCAAAAATAATTTCTTATCACCCCTTACCAGATTCAGTTATCTTCCTTGTGAAGTGCTCGCTTATTTTTTTTCCTTTTTTCAAATTTATACTAAAATTTTTGTAATCTATATCTTGTCCTAAACCAACTATGTTCAAGTGGCTTAGTTCAGGTTCAAAATCAATTGATTTCATCGAACACCAGAAAGTTCGAAAGCATTAAATTGAACAAATATCTGACCACTTGGATCTGTCTAAAGAAATATTTTTAAAATTTATTTTATAGAGGATTTGTTTTATGGGTTTCAAGGTTAAAGAGGTTATAGCTGAATTTTCTACAATTCTTTTAACATTCATTTAGAAAACATTAAAGGCAAAATCAAGTCCTGCTCGTATAGCCTGCAAATTTTTGTCGATTATTTTGTTGTTCTGCTATTCTGGAAAAAACCCTAATTTTTTAAATCTTTGAAAAAAAACCCGACTAATAAGTATCCTCGATTTCGTCGGCTAAAAGTCCAACTTAAAAATTTAGATTCATTTAAACAATTCGTGCTAGGCCTTGTTAGTACCCAAAATGTGCAATTTCTTCAATTTGGCAAATTTTTAAATCAAAATCGTTATAAATTTTCAGATTTTCAATGTTTTCTATTTCATTCATGTCTTTTTTTTCCTTTTTTCGAAAAAAATAGAAAAATGTTAGCCAGGAGGATATTTGTAAAACAATTGCACAATGGACCCACATCCATTTTTTCTCTGCAAAACTATTCCAACGTATCCATATGTAAACCCTTGAAACCAACAGTGAACTCTATACCAAATTTCAGAATTCCATCACCAGCCCAACGGCAGATTTTTTGGCATATTGCACTTTATTGCCTACGCACAAAGACTGACCCTCGTACAGAATGTCAAGATTCTAGATTCAGTCATTTCGTCTGGGTTTTGTTTCTGAGTCAGTCAGTCATTTCACTTCTCTCTACTACTACTGTAGCATTTATACTAGATGAGCTATTTCGTTTTTCCCCGTATGCTACCCTCCCCCATTTGAAACAAATTTTGCGATTTTCAAAAAAAAAAAAAATAATAATAAATAAATAAAAAATGAAATACTTTAAAAATTCTGTTAAAATCTTAAAAATACAAAATGTAGCCGTTATTTTAGGGTCTATACGACGAAGTGGACCTGCATAGGCAACTTTTTCTATAAGCCGTTACAAGGTTCAAATGTTAAACTTGAAAAAATCGGTGAATAATGTAGCTCATACCGAATATAGGGAGGAACCATTATATGGGGGTTATACCAAAACGTGGACCTGCACAGACAATTTTCTGTTTTAGGCTGTAGTATCCATTACGAACTTCAAATACTAAATTTGAAACAATTCCGATGAATAATGTCGCTAAAATCATCAAAATGCCCAATATCGGGAGGTACCGGTATATGGGGGCTATACGAAGACGTGGACCTGCACATATATTTTATGTCTTAGCCTGTAGTATCCATTACGAACTTCAAATATCAAATTTGCAACAAGTCCGGTGAAAATGTTGCTTAAATCATCAAAATACCGAATATCGGGAGGTGCTGTTATATGGGGGCTATACGAAGACGTGAACCTGCACATACAATTTTTTGTCGTAGGCTATAGTATCCATTACGAACTTCAAATATCAAGATTTGCAACAAGTCCGGTGAAAATGTTGCTTAAATCATCAAAATACGGAATACCGGGAGGTACAGTTATATGGGGGCTAAATGAAGACGTGGATCTGCACATACAATTTTCTGTCATAGCCTGTAGTATCCATTACAAACTCGAAATACCAAATTCGAAACGATCCGGTTGAATATTGTCGCTAAAATCATCCAAATATCGAATATCGGGAGGTACAGTTATATGGGGGCTATATGAAGACGTGAACCCGCACAGAAAATTTTCTTTTATAGGCTGTAGTATCCATTACGAACTTCAAATACTAAATTTGGAACCATTCCGGTTAATAATGTCGCTAAAATCATTAAAATACCGAATATCGGGAAGTTCCATTATATGGAACTTTACCAAACAATACCAAAAGTCCTGCAGACATAATATACATTTGAGAAAAATTGTATCAACCTACTTCATTTCGTTCGCAAACTAGAGTGATTTACACAGACGGAGAGACGGACGGACATCGCTAACTCGACATAGAATTTTATGCTGATTTGATTTCTGGGGTCTAAAATGTATATTTCGAGGTGTTACAAACGGAATGACAAACGCTTCATATTATGGTGGAGGATATAAAAACGTAACATTTGTAAATTTATGGAAAAAACTAATGCCGATATTAAAACCAAGACAGCCAAAAAATAGATTAAATTACTTTTTTAAGTGGGCCTAATTCATTTTTGGTTATTACTCTACTAGGGAATGTCTTAATTTTTTAGATATTGTGGATGAAAAAATAAATAGATTTTTAGAGAATTTTTATTCTCCTGCAGCAAACCAATTTTGATAATATTCAGATTGAAATTACACCCTGAGATATTAACTGCCCTACAAAAAATATCAAAATACCTCCGCTTCACTTTCAATAATTCAAAATTTATTGCTTGCAAAAATTCGATTGCGCATCACTGTGCACCTAGCCTATAGCCAATTAGTGCTACACATACTTTGTTCGATCACTCGCCAATGTTGTGATTTGTGACTTAATTAAATTTTGCCAAAAAGAAAAAATATGTCAACAAAAAAAAAACACCTCTTTTTGAAATTCGCCATTTTTACCAAAAGTCATGATATCTCCGTTCAAATGGGATTTTTTATTATCATTAAAAAACATAATAAAATAAAAACATTAAAAGTGTGGCAGCTAGAGATAACAAATTAAAAAAAATAAACAAAACAAAGATAGCCACCATCAAAATGGTAACAATTCACAGCTTAATTGATTCAATTCAATGGTCAAAAGTGATATCAATGAAGAAGCACAAAAATTGACAAAAACACTCCAACGAAGCAAACAAACAACCCATCCAAGAAATCCGCTTATCACTTTGTAAGCGACATGATTACAGCGTAACCAAGAAAAAAAAGAGAGTCAAAATATTGTCGATCATCAGGGTACAAATATTTCCGGTTGGCACTTTTCTTTGGTAGCTTTCATTCAATTCCATATCAAAGAAGATTACAATGATAACAAATACTAACAACATCACATACCAACAATAACAACTTTTAAGCACCTAAATGGTCTCAGCAAATGAACTTTTGCGATACCCCCGATAATGATGTGCTGTTTTATTTATGTAATGCAATTAAAATACAATTTGTCAATTTTTTTTTCCAAAAAATGTTTTGTTTATCTTTTTTTATTTCTTTAAATAATTATAAACAAATTTCTAATTTTATGTAATATTTTTTCGAATTTAATGATCGCTTTGAATTCAGGTTTTGTGTTTTCTTTGCTTTAATTACATCGGACAGCAGGCCGGCCATGATGTCATAAATGTAGAAAGTGTCTGAGACAACTCAAATACATGTTCGGTCAAACAGTACACTGTGCTAAATCTTGACACTTTGGAATTGATTTAATGGGCTTTCGCGCATTTTCCGAAGACAACTTGTTTTAAGGTGGCATGACAGGTTTTGAGTGTGGAAAGACCTTGCATTAAATTGATCCAAGCTGTTGTACAGATAACTAGTAACTCAAAGTCATTCAATATTCGATTTTCCTACCTTGGGCCTTATTTGTGACTACCGACAATTAACTTATCCCACTCCAAAAACAAAAAAAAAGTTAAAGTATCAGTCGGTCCTGCCGACAGACGTATACTCTCAGCCAATGATAGATTATTAAAATATATGTTGACATCTGCTATGATTATTCAAACTCTTGAACCTCTATGGAGTGGGTTCTGAAGGAACGGGCCAATATTGTCCATTTCATATCGGACCTAAATGAATACGGTATAAATATTGCGAGGTGCCATGTTTTGTCTATATTAGTAACTTCATCATAAAATTCATATTTCTCCGAAGTTTCTGGTTGAGAAAAATATTTAGATATAGCAAGTTGTAAAGAATCGCTGAATTATTTCTCAAGTTATGACAGATTAAATTATTAAAAAGTAAAAAAGCTATAAGTTCGGCGGGGTCGAACTTTGAATACCCTCCACCATTTGGAATAAATTTGACAATTTAAAAAAAAAAAAAAAAACATAAAAATAAAATCCGTTAAAAATTCTTTTAAAATCTTAAAAATACCGAATGAGCCGTATATTAGGGTCTATACGATGAAGTGGACCTGCATAGGCAACTTTGTCATAAGCTATTACAATATTCAAATGCGAAATTTGAAAAAAAAATCTGTTTATAATGTAGCTAAAATCATCAAAATACCGAATATAGCGGGGGTACCATGGGGAATATAGGACGTGGATCTGCACAGAAAATTTTCTGGCATAGGCTGAAGTATCCATTACGAACTTTAAATACCAAATTTGAAACAATTCAGGTGAATAATGTCGCTAAAATCATCAAAATATCGCAGATCGGAGGGTACAGTTATATGAGGGCTATACGAAGACGTGGACCTGCACAGACAATTTTCTGTCATAGGCTGTAGTATTCATTGCTAACTTCAAATGCCAAAATAAAATCATCAAAATACCGAATATCGGAGGGTACAGTTATATGAGGGCTATACGAAGACGTGGATCTACATGGCCCATTTTCTGTTGTAGGCTTCATTATCCGTTACGAACTTCAAATACCAAATTTGAAACAATTCGGGTAAATAATGTCGCTAAAATCATCAAAATACGGAATATCGGGGGTACAGTTATATGGGGGCTATACGAAGACGTGGATCTAC